TCCCACTGCATGTCCAACAGACTCATAGAACATTCTTATTTCTGTTCTCAAAAGGTGTTTTCAGTGCCAGTGTTGTGGTGTAGTGGGTAAATCCAACACCTATGATGCCAGCATCCCACAGGGGCACTGATTTGGGTCCTGGCTTCTCCACTTGTGACCCAGCTTCCTGCTAATGCACTTAGGAAAGCAGTGGAAGATGGTCCAAATGCTTGGGCCCCTGCCACCTACATGTGAGAGCCAGAAGAAGCTCCTGGCTTTGGCCTGGCCCAGCCTTGGCTATTGCAGTCATTTGGGGAGTGAACCAGTGTTTGGAAGAACTCCCTCTTGTAACTCTTTCAAATAAATAAAATCTTTTTAAAAAAGTATGTTTTCAAATTACAGGTATCTTAACATTATTCTTTCTTCAACCGTTCAGTTATGCAAATGACCATAAGCTTTGTAGACTCTGGTTAAGGTAACCCTACATCAGGACCTTACTCAGCTAAGGAGATTTATAGGAAGGGTACGGTTGGGGCTTCCTACTCCAGACTTTCCCTTTCCCTTCCTGCCCTCACTTATTTCTTCATGAACAGTTTTTTAGCATCTATGTATATGCAGATGCTATTTTAGGGATTCAAAAGAATAGGGTAGAGTCCTGGTGCACAGGGGGCCACGCCGTGCAGAACAAGGTGAATCAGGATGAAGGCAGCCACACTGTAGGGACAGGTGAGGATCAAACGAGCTGATGCATTACAACATTTAATCTGGCACACAGTACGTACGTAATCAGTTTTAGCTGAGGTCATTAATAGTAATGAATAAGGCGAGGCAAATGGTGCTAGATGTGGATGAAGACCTAATTCTGGGGCCCTTCCCTTTATTGTTTTTAGTTTTTAGAAAGACAAGCTTTTGTCCTCTATCTGTACACTTAAAAAAAAAAAGATTTATTTATTTGAGAGAAAGGGAGAGAGAGATCTTCCACCTGCTGGTTCACTCTCTAGATGGCAGCAGTGGCCAGGATTGAGCCAGCTGAAGCCAGGGGCCAGGAGCTTCAATCCAGGCCTCACATGTGGGTGCAGGGACCCAAGCACTTGGGCCATCTTCTGCTGCTTTCCCAGGCCATTAGCGGGAAGCTGGATGGGAAGTGGAGCAGCCAGAACCTAAACTGCTACTCATATGGGATACTGGCATCACAAGTGGTGGCTTTACCAGCTACACCACAACACCAGCTCCTTCCGCCGTATACCTAAATTGCAAACTTGATATGCTATTCTATCTATACATTTCCACCTTAATCACAAAATGAAAATAGTGAGACTAACACAATGATTCAGAGACAAGGCAGGAAAGCAAAATATGAGAATAAAATCAGTTACAGACCAGAATGGCTTATCTGTGTACCTGAATTAGGTGTTGACAATAACTTGCTAAGACTCCATCATGAGGGCATTAAGTGCCAATTTAAAAAGCACTTAGGCACTTAGAAATCAAGTTAGCTGTCAAATAATGGGCTAGTCTTTAAGGGCCCCCCAGGTTCAAGTCCTCAGTCCTCCAGCCCAGTGGGAGTAATCAGGCATATTATGCTGTCACTTGGAAGGTATGTATCTTCAAAAGCAACAGCCACAAAGAGCTTCTTCCTCCCGGCAGGGCCAAACACACCGTATTTGGTAATGCAATAATTTATCTAGAAAGAATCTAAAACCACAATCCTGGTGTGAGGTCTTTTCATTTAATTTTGGACTCTGACTATGTACCTTGAGACTGTAGCTAATAGGGCCAGGGCCAATACTTGTTATGCAACTGTGTACAGAGGAATTTATCATGTGGGTAAGCTGCATAAATTCCAGAGTTTCTGTTTTTCTCTAAATAATTTTGACTGACTGCTTATTTCTTACACATTAACACTTTGCTTTTTCTTTTTTAAATTTCATACAATCCTTTTGCTATTCTGAAATCACATGAAATTTTATTCCAGTGTGCTAGTGATTAATAAGAAAAATATTTTCAAATGATTCCATATACTTTTCTGGGCTCTGTAAAGTAAGCAGTAAGATCCACTCACCTTTTACTATTTTGTATGTTTGTTATTATTCATAATACATAACCCTTTAGTATGTGGTTTATTTTGATCCTGTACAAAAATAATTTTTCTATTATATCTTAAAATGAAGTATTGCAAATATGAAACTCACTACTTGACAAAAAACAAAAAGAAAACAAAAAGAAACATAAGATGTATTCATTCTCTGAAAACAAGATGAAATCTTTGAAAGGTTTGATGAAGACAGGTTAAGGGGGATAGCATTAAAGAGAGAAGAAAGGAGACCAGCGGAATCCTACAGTGGAAATGATGCAGACGCTGAGTTCTGTTGCAGTGGAGGGGTTGCCTGGACAGGAGGCAGAAGTAAACTTAGGAAGGCATCTCCAAGGTAGCCTTCCATGGTCCTCAAATTAGCAGGGATCATATCCAAAATACCTGATGTAAGGTTCAAATGTGAAATGAATTCCTTCCCTGCCATCAGGCTCCAGTCTCTCCCCGGCACGACACCCATAGCAGAGATGAATAGAGATCAACAAAGGAACTAGCAACAGGAAGCAACATAAGCTGAGATGACATTTGCGAGCAGGCAGGCAAAAGAAAATACAGCTCAATCCGACAGACTTCAGTTTATGCCAGTTCAAGTAAATAACAGCAGCTGAACCTGGGGGGAAAAATTATCTAAACTCCCCTAAACCTTAATTTCCTCATCTCTAAAATGGGCTGGCAAGACATGCAGCACAGTGTTGTGAACCTTAGATGAAATCGGGTACGAACTTAAAAGTACTTGCCACACAGTACCCCTACATGAACATTATTTTTCATCTGGTTTAATTTAAAGCTTAGCTTAAGTATGGTCTTTGCAGTTAAAGCTGTCTCACTTCTTTTTTGCTCTATCTGGACTACAGGAGGTTCTTAATTAATTTTTTGGAATTAATGGCTCCACAAAACTGTAACTCTTTTCTCAAACAGTAAAATACCGGATTACTTCTCTGTGCAGGTGTTGCAGAGACCAGACTAAATTCACTCCCGTCCAAACACCTATGTGACATAAATCAGTCAGTTTCACATGTTTTTCTATTCACCAACACTTCCCTTCTCTACGCACCACGATGGAGATGCTAACAAGTGCGAGGATCAGTGCAAAAGGAGCTGCCTACCTTTCCTTTTGGAGGAGAGATCTCATTTTGATAAGGTTTTTAAGTCCTATTTTGAATTTATCATGCAAGACCCACAAGGTTAAAGGCTACTGTTGACTGGATTACATATTTATGCTTTTAATTTTTCTTGCAATAATGTAACCCCAACATTTGGACTTCAGTATTTCCAGCTGACAATAGCTTGCTCCTAATTCTTAGGGCTAGGTGTTCCCACTTTTATCTGTATCAGCCAGGCACGCTTTCCTGTGAAGTCCATGCTACAACTATTATACATATTTCCACAAACTCCTTTTGTCAGCACTGAAACGCTGCCTTCAGGGGATAGGAGGAGTCTATGTGTGAGGGGTGGGTGATTTTCACAAAGTCGGTCATCTGGAAGCTATAAAGTTTTGGAGTGTGGCAGCTGCGCTCTGAGCAGAGTAATGGTGAGGGAATTGGTGATGTCAATAGAACGAGACTTACATTTTTATATGATTTTTAAGGTCTTTAATAAGTCCAACCCCTCAGAGGTTAATGAAAGCAGTCAAGCAAACTCCCAAGTCTGAGTTTATTAAAATTCATATGGAAGCAAAGAACTTCTCGATACTTAAAAGACTGAGTCTACTTAGCTGCCTTTCTAGAGGGATCTGTTGGTTCTTAATATCTGCTTTTAAAAAGTCTACATGGACCCATCTTCAACACGGATTAATTTTTGATGCATGTTAGTTCATTTTTACTACGCAAATGTGCTTAATGATGGATACTCTCTATTAGATCTGTCATACAAATATTCAAGCCCTTGTCTGAGTAGGCATGGATAGAAGATTAAGAGTGACGTGAGATGATGGGGCAGGTATTGTGACATAGGAAGTTAAGACGCTTCTTGGTAAGGCCACATTCCACGTTGGAGTGCCTGGGTCCAGCCCTCGCTACTCTGCACTTCTGATTCAGCTTCCTGCTAATGGGCCTGGGAAGGCAGCAGATGATGGACCAAGTGCTTAGGCCCCTGCTCCCCACCTGGGAGACCCAGATGAAGGTCTGGGCCCCTGGCTTTGGCCTGGCCCAGCCCTGGTTAAACAGGCATTTGGGGGAATAAACCAGCAGATGGAGAGTATCTCTCTCTGTCATGGTCTATCCTCTGTCACTCTGCCTTTCAAATAAATAAGTCTGTTTTTAAAAAAAAGAGAGAAAGAGTAAATTGCAAAGAATCCTCCTGGGATTGAGGAAATGGATTGAAATAGGAGTTGGGGCAGAAAATCTACTCCTGGATACCTCAAGTTTCTCTCCACTGGATAGAAAGACAGGTAGGAAATGCAGGCAACCAAGATATAAGCAAATGCATTAGAGGACTTGCAAGGCCACAGACCTCATGCCATTAGAAGTAGGAAGGATGTCAGAGCGAGGGCACTGCACAACAGAAACTGCCTTTGGTTCCAGTTTTTCCTTCCAGCTCCCAGAACACTTGAGCTTATGGAAATGTCACAGATCGAATATGCTAGGCTTGAGTTGTGGGTTTTATTTCCTGTATTATTTTGTTGTGCTGACCTTTAAGTATTAACTAGGGTTGAAATGAACTGATTTAAAATGCATATATTCTTATCCTGTGAAACACTCAGATAAGCATATGTGCAGTGATAAAATAAAGACTACCCTACTCTCATTTTAAATTTGTAACGTTTCCCCCAAATGATGGGTTTGGGTTGTATAACAAATCCATCTGCAACTGGTAACAGCATGAAACAGACATTATGCCTGAGAAATAAAAAACAAACAAGAACATCCTGGTAGGAGCTTCTCTAACATGAGGCGCTCGCCAGGGACTCCTTAGAATCTGCAAGGTTTACCTTCACACACTGGGCAACACTCCCCGGGCACTTTCACGGGGTGCATGCAGCTCTGTCCGCAGGCCGTGGCCACGCAGTGGGGCTCCCCGTTGATGCACTGGCAGAACGTGCAGTCGTCTTCCCGCCACCGGTCTCCGTGGGCGCGGATCTGACCATTGGCATAGCAGCCAGCGGGATTATTAAAAGGGTAAACTGGATCTAAATTAAAAATGAGTTCAGAGTGAGACTGAGCATATTGTATACCTTCTTTCAGCTTGCATCTACAGACATTTGCTCCCAGGGTCTAGTCATCAGGAGTTCTACTCCAGCTGTGACCATCAGCAGCTCAGGGTTACCCAAGGTGTCCCCAGGGGTCTGTGCAAAAGCAGCTGTCATACCAAATTTATGAATATCCCCGACACCGGGTCAGGGAAGAGGACCTATGGTCTGAAAACGGATGTGCACACGCTGTCACTCTGCAACACTGGAAAGCTTTGCAGATAAAGCTGTGGGTTGGCAATCAGAAAACATGGATCCATCTGAGGTTACAACAATGTCTTCTGAGTTGCCGAGTGAAATGTTTATCACTTCTCAATTTCACCTCCTGTAAAGGGGACAGAACAGTGTCCCATGTAACAGAGGGAAATTGTTATTTGTGGGACTAACTGAACTGAACCTCTGCATGTCAATACTGTGGCCTTGTGGATGACAAGATTGGCTTAGACACACCACGTGTCCATGATGGTTCCTTGCAGCAAGGCTGGGAACTCAAGGCCATTTTTGTCCTTGGATGCTGGGTAGTTAGGCAGCAGCCAATGGTGGTGGACCAAAGTAGGTAAGGCTACTACAGGAAAAGTCTTCTGAGATTATTCACAAAAAGACAATATACACAAAATCCACAAATAATCCCTATATTGACAACAATAGAGAAATTACTCAATCTTCTTAGATGGATGTAAAAACCAGTACTGCTGTGCTGGGAGGAGAGTTCTAGTTTGGTTGTCTTTACTCCCAGGAGATAATACAGTGTTATGAGATTGTTAGAAGGCTAAAATTTAGAATAAAATCACAGCTTTAGAAAGGCAGTGTGCCACAGATGGAAGTGGCCAGGAGATATGAACTAGATAAAAAAAATAGTGTACTATGTAGCTCACTTCTACTCTGAGCTCGACCTGGATTCCAGGAAGGAGACCTAACTGACCTATGCCCAGACAAATTCATTATGATTATTACGCGGAGGTTCCTGGCCATGATTTCACACCACCAACGGCTACATAGCCTCAGACATTATGACCAACTGGGGGCGACCCAGCAACAAGAGACCAGCTGGGAAGGTTAAAAGTTCGATTCGTTGCTAGAACAACTAAGAGGTCCATGTTAGCCATGTAGTGTTTTTTTTTTTGGTTTTTACTTTAAACATTTCAGATCTTCAACATTATGGGGTAAATATAACTCAAATAACACAAGGAAAGGACTTTAGGAAAACAGAAAACAGCACGGAATATGGCATGACAATGTGTCCTCCCGTTTGTGTGCGGAGACCGGATGCAAGATAAACACAAACGGCTTCAGAGGGACGATCTGTGCCCCACCGAGGACAAGGAACCTCACAGGTGACCTCCTTGCTGGGGAAACTGCCATCTGGCCAGGACAACACAGACATGCTCAGGGGTGGGAGTGTTGCTTCCAGCCCCATCATAAACTTGGTCAGGTGACTACTTTCCCAATGTGAGGGTTTTAGTGGATGATATTCAGAGGGACCATTCTGCAATGTTCAAGATTTCTGACAGTCAGGGATGGGAAGAAAGAGCCCACGGCAGGAACATGGAACACGAAAGTAAGCATTGGGGATGGAGAGAGAGTGTGTCCTGGAGAGCCACACCGCACACCCTGCAAGCACCCGACATGGGCCTTGGGCTAGAGTCCCTGCCGCCTGACAATCCAACCACCCTGTAGCTGCAAAAGAGGTGGAGCAGCAGGGTCCGGATCCCACACAGAGGGAGAGGCATGGGAGAGGCCCAGTTCCCCTGAGATCACCGGCTGGAACTGTTAGTGACAAGAGCGTCCCACCCTAGCTGAGTTCCAAGATCAGAATGAAGATAAAGTGCTTCCCTAGGACTGCTAAGCAACTGCTGGGATTGCAGGGGATAAACAGAAAGCAGCTGTGGGAAATCTCAGGCTGACCTGAGAAGCAGGTGACTCAGGCTCTCGACTGGTAGCTTCCCCGACGGAAGGGTTCTCACATACTCTACCTGGAAATACACAGCCCTAGAAACCAGGCCGTGACACCATCAGATGGACTTCCTCAATATTCCCCCTATTTTGCACAAGACTAAAGTAAGTCGATAATGCTATTCGAACTCTGCACCTCGTACATTGTATTAATCTTCGACTAGCATGTTTCCGTACCTTCGCACACTGGGCAGCACTCCCCTTCAGGCACGTAGTACCTCTCGCAGTTCAGCTCACCACACTGGGCAGTGAAGCAAATGGAGACACCCCCTTGGCATCGACAGAATCGACAGTTGTCCATTCGAAACATGTCTCCATCATGGTATTCCACGTTATTGAATACACAGGCAGGTTTGGTTTCTGAAAAGAGTTAAAACAAGGCACAAACTCACTTCTGAGTTTTTACACTTTTTCAAACAGCCTCTAGAAATTTTATCTCCAAGCAGGAGGTTATAATTTGTTGGAAAATTACAAAACATGACATAACTATTTAACAGAAGCAATAAAGCAAAGCGAAGCAAAACAAAGCAATATAAAATAAACAAAACACATTGTTATCCTGTTTACACCAAGGAACCAAAATTCCACTTAGAAAAATCTAAAATGACTTCCTCCTGCCCTAACAAAAGGTAAATTTTATGACCATGAAACTCACATATCTGCTATGTGCTTCAAGAGATTGTTTGTTTTGTTAAATCATTCTCTACCTCAAGTAAGTGGCCCTGCCTCAACAACAGGTTTTGCTTTGCCTCAAAATTTTTACTTTTTTGGAGGTTCTCTTCTAAATTCTTTTTCTTCTATCCTGTTTAATAATATATAATTTTAAGAGTCCAACATTTTATATACATTTATGTGTAATGTTCCACACATATTACGTCACTTAATCCTAACGACAAAGGCCTGATGTAGATATTATCCTGAGCTTAGAAGTTAATAAATTTTATGTAATTTGTTCAAAGTCACACTTTTAGCAAACACCACAAGTCAAAATGGTAGTTCTTCAACTAAAACTGTGTGCTCTTTCCTTCGTGTTTCCAGGTTATATTGTGCTAAGAACTCATGGGCTCACATTTACAGCTCTCATCATGATACCAGTGATTTAAAATCTTTTCTCTATTCTTGAATACACTCCCTAAATTCATTCCACATCTCTAATTTGGGCAGATTTAAAATAACTTTCACTAATTTATCCCAAAAATGCAAGGGTGGTTTAATATTCACAAATCAATAAACATCATAAATCAACAGAATAAAGAACAAAAGCCATGTGGTCATTTCAACAGATGCAGAGAAAGCATTTGATAAGATGCCCCTTCATGACAAAAACTCCACAAATTAGGTACACAAGAAACATCCCTCAAAATTATAAAGGCTACATAGACAAACCAACAGCCAATATCACACCAAACGGGGAAAAGCTGGAAGCACTTCCCCTCAGATCTGGAACAAGACAAGGATGTTCACTTTCACCACTCCTGTTCAATATAGCACTGGAAGTATCAGCAAGAGCAATTATGGAGGAGAAACAAAGGGCATCAGAACTGGAAAAGAGGAAGTCACTTATCCACGTCTGCAGGTGACATGATGTTGTACATGGAAAAACCGAAACACTCCACCAAAAAATTGTTGGAATTAATAAACCAATTCAGGAAATTTCAGGTTACAAAATAAACATACAAAAAAACCAGTAGCTTTTTATATACTAATGATGAACTCACTGAAAGAGAAATCAAGAAAGAAATCCCATTCTCAATCCCCCTATATACAAATCAAATACATGGGAATAAATTTATTAAGTGAAATATTTCTATAATGAAAATTATCAAACATTGATGGAAAGAATCATCAAGGACACAAAAAATTGGAAAGATATTACTTTTCATGGATTGGAATAATAACACAAAAATGCCTATACTACCTCAAGCAACCTACAAATTCAATACAATCCCTATCAAAATACCAATGACATTCTTTACAGATTAGAAAAAAAAATCTTAAAATTCATATGGAATCACAAAAGACCCAGAATAGCCAAAGCAATCCTGAGCAAGAAAAATCAAGCTGGAGGCATCGCAATGCCTGACATCAAAACATACTACAAAGCTATAGTAATTAGAACAGCTTGGTACTGGCTCAAAAACCGATACACAGATCAGTGGAACAGAATAGAGCCCAGAAAATAATCCACGTACATACGGCCAACTGATTTTTGACAAAAGCGCTCAGACCATACAGTGGGGTAAGGATAATATATATGTAGAAGAATGAAATTAGATCCGTACCTCTCACCATATACAAAAACCAACTCAAGATGGACCAAAGACCTAAATTTAATACCTGAGACTATGGGGCTGCTGGAAGAAAATGTGGCCCAAGACACTAGCACAGGGGAAGATGGGTTGTGAGGATTAAATGGCTTATCATATATTAAAAACTCTCAGTAAACATAGCTATGATTTTGCTAATAGTGTGTATGACTGCTCATTGTAGCACTGTTTGCAACAGGAAAGCCTGGGAGTAGACTAAATACCCATCACCAGGGTCCCAGTTAAATGAGAACGAGAAAGATGGCTGGGCCTGTTGAGCACCTCTAAGGTATGCAGTTAGTTGAAAAATGCAATGTACAAGGGCCAGTGCTGCGGCGTAGTAGACTAAGCCTCTGCCTGCAGCACCGGCATTCCTTATGGGCGCCCGTTAGTGCCTGGCTGCTCCTCTTCTGATCCAGCTGGGCTTGGTCCCCTGCCCCCGAGTGGGAGACCCAGAAGAAACTCCTGGCTCCTGGCTTTGGATTGGCCCAGCTCCAGCCATTGTGGTCATTTGGGGAAGCGAACCAGCAAATGGAAGGCTTCTGTCTCTCCCTCTCCCTGTAAGTTTTCCTCTCAAATAAATAAATCTCAAATTAAAAAAAATCTTAAAAAACAAACAAACAAACAAACAAAAACCAAAAAACCCCACAATGAGATATCACCTCACACCTGTCAGAATGGCTAGAATCCCAAACAGAGAGTAACAAATGCTGGCAAGAATGTGGAGAAAGGGGAACTCTTATACACTGTTGGTGGGAAAGTAAATAAGTGCAGCCACTGTGGAAAACAGTGTGTACAGTATGGAGATCTGAACATGCTGTATTAGAGATACCTGTAGCAGCACTGTTCACAACAGCTGAAACCTGGAATCCACCAAGGTGTCCATCATCAGATGAATGGGTAAAGAAAGTGTGGTTAATACACACAATGGAATATTATTCAGCTATAAATAATGAAATTCTAACATTTGCAGCAAAATGGACACAACTGGAGGACATCATGCCGAGTGAAACAAGCTGGACCCAGAAAGACAAATACCACAAGTTCTCACTTGTATGTGGGAGCTAAAATTGAATAAATAAAATAGAAAGGAAATGCCTGTGTGTATCAGTATTACTGCAAATACAGTTTTGTGAAACATTGTTTTATACCTTTGTCAAACCAATGGTTAAGAGTGTTTCACTACTACAGCTTTAATAATCTGTGATTTACCTTAAAATTTACTGTTATGGGTGAAATGGTCACTTTCCATTTAATTATTATTTATAGCTGTTGTCTGTATTCTCACTAAACTAGGGTCTTTTTGGCTTTTTTACTTGCTAAACTTCTTATTAGGAGAAGTATTATACCTTTTTACTGTGATGTAAATTTAAAATACCTCAAAAATTAAAAAGAGAAGAAAGTGGGAAGGAGAGAAGGAAATATCATTGTGTTCTTATAATTGTATCTACAAACCATAATATATCTGTTAAAAACAAATTAAAAATTAAATAAACAAAATAACTCCCACCAAAGACATGACAAGAAAACAGAGTAATATCTCTCATGAATATCAACATAAAAATTTCAAGAAAAGGACTAACAGACTACATCCAGTAATATGTACAAAGGATTATATACCATGACCAAGTGGGTTTATTCCAAGAATGCAAGGCTGGTTTAACATCCAAAAATTAACTAATGTAATACAATATGGCAGTAGCATAAAGGACAAAAGCCACAATATCATCTCAACAGATGCAGAAAAAGCATTTGACAGAATAGAATACTTTTTTACAATAAAAATGTTTGACACACTGTGAATGTGAGGGGGCTTCCTTAGCTTGATAAACAGCATGCATGAAAAAAAGTCAGTGAACATCATGTTTTATGGTAAAAAACCAACTGCTTTCTTACTGAGGTAATGCTGAAGACACTGTTTAGATTCAATAAGGTAAGGAAGTTCTAGCCCAGGCAATTAGGAAAGAAAACGAAACAAAAGGCATCCAGATTAGAAAGGAAAGAAAACAATTTCTAGTTGCTGATGAAATGTCTTATATATTAACATTTCTAAAGAATTCATTAAAAAACTATCAGAACTTATAAACAAGCTCAACAAGGTTGTAAGGTAGAACCACAACTCAAAAAAAAAAAAAAATTCCGTTTCCATACCCGATTTATAGATTGTTAGGCATTAACAATCAGAAAATGAAGTCAGAAAAACAATTCCATTCTCCAAAGCATCGAAAAGAATAAAACATTTGGGAATGAATTTAATAAAATAACTGTGAAACTCATCATTTGAAAATGACAGGATATTGCTGAAAGACATAAAACATGTCCAAGTAAACATTAAGACATCATGGATTGGAAGACCATACTGCTAAGATGAAATTACTCCCAAAACTGACCTGCACAGAACTATTCAGTGTAATCCCTATCCAAACTCTGGCCAGCTCTTCTGTAGAAACTGACAAGCTGACACTAAAATTTCAAAGGAAATGCAAGGGACTCAGAATATTGAAAAGAACAAAGTTAGAAGAGTCTGATTTCAAAACACAATACCATATCACAGTTCCAGTGTAGAACTGAGACGTAAGTAATAAACTATCATTTTCTTGATTTCTGACAAAGGCATCAATAAATTCATAGGGGGAGAAGAGAATATTTTCAACAAATGGTGGCAGGCAACAGAATATCCCTGCTCCTATATACAAGAATTAAAAAGGAATCCTACAGCTATGATCTAAATGTAATAGCTACAACTATAGCCTTGTTAGAAAAAAATGTAGGAATAAATCTTTGTGACCTTGGATTAGGCAAGGATTAAGAACCATTAGGTTCTAAGAACCTAGAACACCAAAAGCATAAGCAATAAAAGAACAAAGAGGTAAGCTGAACTACTTTTGTGCTGCCACTAATGCTGTTAGTAAAATGGTAACATTGCCTTAAGCCCAGCCTGGCTTACTAGAAGTCAGGTGACCAGAGGGCCCAATCACAAGCATCCGCTCCACCCCCACCCTAGCGGGATTTGCTGCTCCCCCTTCCTTACCTCTGCAAAGCTATATAAGACCT